GCCTGACCCTGCTTGTGTCTATCTACCTGATGAGATCCCAGTGCCTGGCCCTGCCTGTATCTATTTACCTGATGAGATCCCAGAGCCTGACCCTGTCTGTGTCTATCTACCTGATGAGATCCCAGAGCCTGACCCTGTCTGTGTCTATCTACCTGAGGAGATCCCAGTGCCTGACCCTGTCTGTGTCTATCTACCTGAGGAGATCCCAGTGCCTGGCTCTGTCTGTGTCTATCTACCTGACGAGATCCCAGTGCCTGGCTCTGTCTGTGTCTATCTACCTGATGAGATCCCAGTGCCTGGCCCTGCTTGTGTCTATTTACCTGATGAGATCCCAGTGCCTGACCCCATCTGTGTCTATCTACCTGATGAGATCCCAGTGCCTGGCCCTGCCTGTATCCATCTACCTGGTGAGATCCCAGTGCCTAGCTCAGTTTGTGTCTATCTACCAGATGGCACAGTGGCTCAGTGCTTAGCACTGCTGCCTCAGAGCCATTTACACAGATTCAATTCCACCCTCGGGCGACTGTCAGTGTGGAGGTTGCACATTCTCCCTGTGTCTGTGTGGGTTTCCTCCAGGTCCTCTGCTTTCCTCTCACAGTCCAAAGAAAGTGCAGGTTAGCTGGATTGATCATGCTAAATTGCCCGTTGTGTACAGACATGTGTAGGTTAAGTGGATTAGCCATGGGAAGTGTAGGTTATAGGGACAGCGTAAAGGGCTGGGTCTGGGTGGGATGCTCTTTGGAGAGCTGGTGTGGACTCGATCGGCTGAATTGCTTGCTTCCACACTGTAGGGAATTCTATCTATCTATGAGATCCCAGAGTCTGGCCCTGTTTGTGTCCATGTGCCTGATGAGATCCCTGTCTGTGCCTAACTGGTTTGATCCTAAAATCTATGCAGTTGTCAGGGCTCCGGGGGTCATTGCTGAACGGCAGAGGGAGGATATTCTCCAGCGTGCTGACGTAGCAGATTGCGGGTGGGCTCTGGGTTATTGCTGATTAGCTAGATCCCCTCCCTTCACACTGGCGCAGTCTGGGGAAGCGCGCATGCGTGTAGCGGCGCCTTCTTCCCGGACGGTTGGAGGGTGAGATGGCAGCGCGCGTGCGAGTCAGCGATGCGGTTTGTAAGAAACGGTACCCCGGGCCCCCGGCCCAGAGGGAGAGGCCTCAGCCTCACAGTTATTCCCAGGCCTGGGGTGGCAGGCTGGCTGGGAGGGGAAACCCGAGCCATAAGGCGGCGGCGGCGGCAGCAGCAACCGCAACCTGTCGGACGGCCTGCCTTGCGCTGCCGATACAAGTGCTGCCCTGCCTGCCTTGCCCTGCCGATACCAGTGCTGCCCTGCCGGCTTGGGATCGGACGCCCCTCGAGCGCGTACTTACGGCAGTCACTGTGCTCGAGGCTGCAGGCCTCACTGCGTGCTCTTCCGGTTCAGAGGTCAGCGCAGAGTTTCTGTTTAAACCAACAATAGCTGTGGGAGTAAATATCCCCCCCATTGGGTATGGGGTGGACAAGTATCCCACCCATTAGGCGTGGGTAGGGGTAAGTATCCCACCCGTTGGAGGCGTGGGGGGGAATAAATATTCCATGTGTGAGTGGGGTTTTGAATAACGTGTGCATGCGTGATGAGGCTGGAAGGGCAACTATCCCACAGTGGGGTTTACCAAAACACTAAGATGGGCTTGGGAGGTTTATAAAATCACTGAACTGGGGGGGTGAGTAGTGTACAAAATAACTGGGCTGGTCTGAGTTTATATAAGCGATGGGCTGGGAGGGTGTTGTAAAATTACTGGGTTGGGAACATTTATAAAAGCATAGAACTGGGTGGGAGGTTTTATAAAACACCAAGCTCTCAGGGGTTGTTGACAAAATGACTGGTCTGTGAGGCTGTTATAAATTTACTGGGGTTTGTATTGTTTGGATAGGAAAATGTTACGAATTCTCGCTGCAGCGGTAACAGGAGCTCAGACGAATGGCGGTTTATGGGCTGTGCAGCCACCACGAGGCCCTGCTGTTACTGCCAGGAAACCCAGTTCAGAGACAGCCAGGAAATGGATGGTGTGGTACTTTGTCCTTAGTCTGAGGAGCTGTATGAGGGAAGGTCTTGCAGAATATCAGGGAGGAAGGTGAGGGAGGGCAGGCAGGCAGTTGTAGTAGGTGTAATAGAGCTGGAGGAACTGATGGCAATGTAGAAACAACAGAAATGGGAGAAAAATGGAGTCCATGTTGACCAGGAGCTTTTATGAACATCTGGTATAGGCTGCTGGACCCGAAGTAGAAACTCCTGGACCTATGTTTGTAGCAAATGGGAAAAACTGTTGTGGGTCTCAGGTGTTTGCAAGCCAGGTTACTGCTGCTATCATGTTATCAAGGCCCTCCTCAACCGTCTACTCCCTGTGGCTGAAGAACTCCCCTTGGAATCGCGGTGCGGCTTCTGGCTGCAGGGACACAAGGGACATGATTTTCATCACGTGAAAGCTGCAGGAGAAACGCAGAGAAAAGAACCTACCCCTATACATGGTCTTCCTTGACCTTACAAGGCCTTTGACACTGTCAACCAGGTAGCATTGTGAAGTAGCCTTCTCCCCTTCGGCTTGTCACCATCCTTTGCCTGCTCCACAATGACATGGAAGTTGTGGTAATGACATGGCTCCACCACCAACCCACTCCCTGTTTGGACCAGTGTCAAGCAGGGCTGCATTATCTCCCCAAAGCTGTTCTTGATCTACCTTGCTACATTGCTTCACCTTACTGCTGACAAGCTCCCCACTGGAATGGAGCTAACCTGCAGAACCAACAGGAAATTATTCAACCTCTGCCGCCTCCAGGCCAAAACCAAAGTCACCCTTACCACTGTCATCAAGCTGCAGTATGCGGATGATGTTTGCCTATGTGCCAACTTAGAGGACAAACTCAAATGTTGTCAGCACCTTTATTGCGGCTTATCAGTGCATGTGTCTCACCCTGAACATCCACAAGTCAAAGATTCTCCTCTAACCTGACCTGGCATTGTGGAGTGAACCCTTGATCATCAACGTCCACAGGAGGCCTTAGAGAAGGTTGGCCACTTGCAGTACCTCTGGAGTGTCCTGTCATCCAAAAGTTATTTATGAGGAGGTCCAGCACCGCCTCCAATGTAATAGTGCAGCCTTCAGCTGCCTGAGGAAAAGGGGTTCGAGGACAACAACATCTGATCTGACACCAAGTTCATGGTATGCAGAGCTGTGGTGGTTCCTGCTTCTTATATGGCTCTGAGATGTGGACTGCCAACAACTAACACCTCAAGGCACTGGAGCAGAACCACCGTCACTGCCCGCACAATATCCTGCAAATCCCCTGGGAAGAAACTCACTTTCTTACTCCCCAAAGCCTGTCCAATGTCTACAAGACACAAGGCAGGAGTGTGATGGAATATCCCCACTTGCCCAGATGAGTGTAGCTCTAACAACACCGAAGAAGCTTGACACCATCCAGAACAAAGCAGGCTGCTTGATTGGCACTACATCCACAAGCATCCACTCCCTCAACTACTGACACTCAGTAGCAGCAGTGTATACTAACTACAAGATGCACTGCAGAAATTCACCAAAGGTCCTCGGACAGCACCTTCCAAACCCATGACCACTTCCATCTAGAAGGACAAGGGCAGCAGATACATGGGAACACCACCACCTTCAAGTTCCCCTCCAAGCCTCTCGCCATCTTAACGTGGAAATATATTGCCGTTCCTTCACTGTCACTGGGTCAAAATCCTGGAATTCTCTCCCTCATGACATTGTGGGTCAACCCACAGCAGGTGGACTGCAGTGGTTCATGAAGGCAGCTCACGACTACCTCCAAGGGTAACCAGGGACAGGCAATAAATGGTAGCCAGTCAGTAACGCCCACATCCCCCAAATGAATAAATTTTTATAAAAAGATGCACCAGCATCCTCGACCAGGTCAACATCACTGGTGTCGAGATGGTGACCACCCTTGATTGGCTGTGATGTGCTGGGTCATGTGATGACATGACCGGCACAAGACTCCGTGAGAGGCGCTCTACTCCCAGCTCCAAAACAACAGGCAAGCCACAGGTGAACAGAGGAAGTGCTTCAGGGATACCATCAAGGCCTCTCTGTCAAAGTGCAACATTCCCACAGACACTTAGGAATCACTGGCCCAAGACACTCCAAAGTGAAGGAGAAGTATCCAGGAAGGCATCGAGCTCCTAGAGACTTGCCGTCAGGAAAACGCAGAAGCCACTCAAAAACGGTGTGAAGAGTGGTTTGGCAATGCAATGCCCCACTCGTCCCTTTCCACAACTACCTTCTGCCCCAAGTGTAACAGAGTCTGCAGAAGTCACATCGAACTGTGCAGCCATCTACAGACTCCCCCCAAGAGGGGAAGAGAATCATCCTTGTCTGCGAGGGACCGCTGATGATGAAATATCCTGCTCATTGTGTCTTCGGAGGGTAAGTATCCTGCCGTGTGTGTGTGTGTGTGTGTGTGTTGGCTGGGGTGGGGTGTCATTATAGGGCCCATTGTAGGATGGATGAACAAATATACTGCTCTCTAAGTGGGTGTGGGTACGTAGACTCCTCTTTGAAGAGGGTGGGCAAATATACCACCCAATATGGGGGAAGTGGGCTGGATAAATATAACGCCTAGGGTGTGTATTGGTAAGGCATTTCACTTTTGGGTATAAGGTATTTCACTGGGAGTGTAGTGGGGGGATAGGAGTTCTTCCCTGTGACAGGAGGGTTGCTAGCCAGAGATAATGTTTTAAGAACTAGGCAATAGAACTATCCTCAGCGGGTGTATTTCAATGTTGCAATTCATGATATAGAATGTACTGTGTAGAACAGTAGTAAAAGCTGGTTTAACAATAACTGCTAATTGAGAATTGGGCAAATATTTTGGTATTTTATATGGCACACTTTCTCCTCAGAGTGTGTGTGTAAACCTACCTCTTGCAAATAGCCAGCACAAAGTAATTGACTGGCCTCCAGCTTTGCTGTATGATGCTGCAGATTCCACTGTAAGCATAAATTTACATATTTTAGAATGCTTTGCGTTTGCTAGGTATTGATTTCAGTCAGCTCAATTCATTTAATTTGTTCTGAATTCTACGTGCAATTGTGAAGACTCATTCATTTTGCCATTTTACAGTTTTTCTCCCCTTTGTCGTACCTGCTTTTTTTTTAAATTACATTTGTAGACTCTGCTCCTTTGTGTTCCCCTTTGTTCAACAAGGGTGATCCTTAATTTTGAAAGTGTACCCTAGTTCTGGACTTGCTCACTAGAGTAAAACTACTTTCCACATCCACCTTGTCAACATCTTTGAGTCTTTAAAACATGGTATTGTTTAGCTGCAGTGGAACTGGTAGAGACATGCCATTAGCCCCTCACCCCAAGATGAGGAGAAAATCAGGCAGGGTTCTTATTTTAATTGGCAGAAGCTTTTCTTATCTAATGCTGTCACAACATCAGAGTTCTAAATTTCCATTAGCGTACCTGGGTTTTACTTTCTATATACGATTCTTATAAATTTTTATTTGTTGGCTATGTGGAGTGTACCTGTATTTCGTTTGCCTTTGTAGTCTAATAAGTCACTGTTCTCTCTTTAGTGTTGCCACTGAAACCTAAGGGCCATGGATGACAACCTAGATTTCACCACTGGAGATGCTGGGGCCTCTGCTACCTTTCCAATGCAGTGTTCCTCTTTGCGCAAGAATGGATTTGTGATTCTGAAAGGGCGCCCCTGCAAAATTGTTGAAATGTCTACATCCAAGACTGGCAAGCATGGGCATGCCAAGGTCTCTATTCACTGTTGAAGTCCATAATTTTATTTGACTTGAGTTTGCTAATAGTCTGAATGTTAATATTCCCTCCCCCTCCTTTTCTGGTCACGTGCACCTTGCTAGGGTCCATTTTCTTTGGTCTCACTCTCAAATCATCTCTTAGTAAGAAAACTTACTCATTATTTTCATTCATGAGAGGCACAATACACCCTGCTTGATCTTCTTTCACACTTTTTTTAAAAATACATTTGTGGGATGCGGGTGATGCCAGCATTTATTGCCCATCCCTGGTTTGTCTTGAAAGTTGGTGGTGAGTTGCCTCTTGAACCACTGGAATCCTATTAATGTAGTTATGACCATAATTTTGTTAGGAAGGGAGTTGCAGGATTTTAACCCAATGACTTAGAAGGAACAGCAATATAGTTGCAAGTCAGGATGCTGAGTGGTTTGGTAGGGAACTTGCAATTGGTGCTCTTCCAAAACCTTTGCTGTCCTTGTCCTTGAAGGTAATAGTTGTGCATTTGGAAGGTCCTCTCTGAGGAGTCCGGGTGAATTTGTGCAGTGCATCTCGTAAGTGATGTATTTGAAGTATGTGTGTCTCTGGACAACAGTTAATGCCCTGGTTGCAGAATCCAATCTGGTCTGCATTGACTCATTGAGCGTGTTGCCCCACTGAAATTGTATTTCTAAAGTACTTTGCTTTCCCCAAATGGCTACAAAAAGTTCACTTCTGTGTCTGGACTGTGTTATTAAAATCTAATTTTTTAAATGGCTTGAAGAGTTTAGTAACTGTATTTTGAATGTTTTGAGTAGTAGAGCTATTGAAATATTTATTATTGGGTTGAATGGTTGACTAAGCCAAAATAAAATTAACCTCTTGAGGTATAGCTTTCAGACTGAGTTACAAAATGGAGCTTAAGGAACCAAGTCTAGATTTGAATGGTTAAGTTTCATTTGAAGTTTGTTTCACAGTCAGTTTGTTCTACCAATATCTTCATGGTTTGAATCTTGGCCTTGAACATAGGCTACACTTGTTGCCTTGACTCCAGTAGCCTTGAGAAATTTAGTGGTCACCTTGTACTGCTGATGGTTTGAAGTAGCAGTCTAACAAGCTATGTTATTTCGATAGTCTTCCTTCAAGCTAATCCTTTGCAACCTTCCTAACCCATACAAACACAGGTAATCCAAAGTCTTTGAATCTTTCAGTTATCATGAATGCTATGACTGTGGATATTTGTGTGCGAATTGTATGGAAAAAATGTATACAGTTGCTGCTGTAGTTCTGAATTCTTGTACAGTATGTTGAACTGAACATATTAAACGTGACTAGTAACATTGTACGGCATTGAAATTTAGTGATATGTTTAGTGTTTCATGTCTTTTCAGGTTCACATGGTTGGTATTGATATATTCACTTCAAAGAAGTATGAAGATATCTGTCCCTCTACCCACAATGTTGATGTCCCCAGAGTCACGAGAAATGATTATCAGGTGAGGTGCTGCTATTAATTGAAAAATTATTCCAATATCATCCAAGAACAATTTGCCAAAAATGTTAACTGGTCAGTGGAATGATGGTCACTGTTCTTGGTCTCGCTTTTTTGTTTTATTATCTGGAGGAGAAAATGATTGGCATTTGCATTACCTGTTGTACGAAGGATGTGACCACAGTAAGGGATGGAGAGGAGATTTATGTAGATACTAACAAAAATGGAGAATTTTAGCCATGAGCAAAGATTAGATTGGTGAGGTTTATTTAAGGAAAGAGAGATTAAACTGAGGCATATAAAAATGACATGGGACATGGGACCTATCCAAAGAGGCCAGAAACTGGAGGAATAGATACAAAAAAAAATTCCAAAGAGTTAAGAATATTTTCACTCGAATGGTTGTTGAGTCTGGAATCTGCTGCCTGGAAGTATGATTTAGGTAGAAGCCCTCGATGCATTTAAAACAAAAATAATTTGTCATGCCTTTGAGTTGCTGCAATGTAAACGGCTGACAGCAAGAGCTGCAAAGTCGATTTACGTGCAAAAACTCTTTTTATTCGGCACGTGGTCAGCTGATGGCAGTCTGAATCTTGTGTCCACAGAGACTTGTCTCCTTGTTCATGAATCACTAAAAATTCGTATGTAGGCACAGCAAGAAATGAGGAAGGTGAATAGAATGTTGGCCTTCTTCACAAGGGTATTTAAATACAGAAGTTACAATGTCTTATTGCAATTATTTAGTGGCTTGGTGAGACCATACCTAGATTAATGGGTACAATTTTGGTTCCCTTAACTAAGGAAGGAAGACCTTGTCACAGAGGGAGTGCAATGAAGATTGAGGAAACTGGGCCTACGTTCACTAGGGCTTTGAAGAATGAGGGGTGACCTTATTGTAACTTATGATATGTTTACAGGTTGTGACAGTAGATGTGGATCAGACATTTCCTAAGTTGGTAAATCTAGAACCAGTGGACATAGACACAGGCGAGCAATTTAAGACTGAGATCAAGAATTTCTTCACTCATGAGGCTGGTGAATCTTTGGAATTCTCTTCACCAGAGGGTTATGGAATCTCTTTCATTGTAAGCAGGTTCAATACAAATCAGTAGATTTCTGGAGACCTGATGATGTATCACTGATGTAGGATAATGGTTTAAAATGGTATTGAGATACATTGCCAGTCGTGTGTTTGGAGGAGCAGGCCTACTTCTATTTCCTGCATTCTGATGTGAGTTTTCTATATTTCTATATTTCTATATTCATCACAATAAAATTGGAGAAATGTTGAGAATTGAGTAGTCATTCCTCTATGCATGAGGGTTCTGTTCCTGAGAAACCCACAAATAATGAAATTTGTGAGCGCAGAGTTCATTATAAAATGCGGGTTAAAAATCACAGATCTGTGAATTTTGGCCACGGATGTTGAATTTTGTTACTTTTTGGCACAAATAGGCAAATTTGCGAGTCATGATCTTTATAGATATGTAGGGTTTACTGTGGTTGCAATTTGTAAGTGCGTAAACAGTTTTCCTGTGATCATTGATGTGTTTCTTAAATTTACTGCATTGGGAGTTGGGGGATGGTAATGTTTTAGATTTGTTGCATTTTGTCAGTTTTTGGGGGGGCGGGGGGAGAGAGACCCAATTGTCTGGCATATGTCCAGATCGGCATGACTTTTGACTATTTCTTGTACAAGCAAGTGATAACTGCTAGTTTAGTTCAATTTTACAGGGTGTGGACTGGCTGGTTAAACAGTGGCCCAAATATTACTTGAAACAAAATCTGCAGTCTTGTTAGAGTGTATCCCATGTCCATGCCAGCTCTCTGAGCATTTTTGCTTTGTGCTGAACTCATTCCGTTTTCCCGTAATGCTGTGAATTGTTTCTGCTTAAATAATCATCCACTGGCTCTGAAGTCCCTCAATTGAATCTGCTTCCTTCACATTTCTAGGCTTTATATTCCATATCCAGGCTACTCACTATTTGAAGTGTTTTTTTTCTCATTTCATGTTTGTTTCATAACGTCGTAAGATGTAGGAGCAGAAATAGGCTGTTCAGCCCATTGAGTGCTCCACTATTTAATTAGACATGGTTTATCTGATGATTCTTAACGCCAATTCTTCTTCCCCATAACCCTTCATTCCCTTGGTGATTAAAAATCTGCCTCGCAGCCTTGAATATTCTTAATGACTCAACCTCTATGGCTCTCTGTGGTAAAGTATTCCACAGATTCACTAACCTATAAATTTCTCCTCTGTCTTAAATGAAAAGTCTGTTTGTAACATGGCCAGACATGTTGATTGTCAGCCTGCAAGTTTTTCCAATTACAACCTAATGGCAGGTAAAAGAAGTGGGAGAATTTCATGATTAGCCATCTGCAGAAAGCAGTGACAAACCACTGCAATATGTGAATATTTGGGGTCCGAGTAACGATCTCTGTGGCATCCCGAGTCACTGCCTGTCATTCAGTAAAAGATCCATTTATTCCTACTTTTTTTTTTGTCTGTTAAACAATTTTTCTGTCCATCTCAGTACATAGCCTCCAATCTCATGCACATTAATTTTACACATTAATCTCTTATGTGGGGCTTTGTCGAAAGCCTTCTGAAAGTACAAATAAACTGCATCCGCTGCCCCACCCCACTATCAACTCTTCTAATTACAGCCTGAAAAGAATTCCAGTAGACTTCTCAAACGTGAATGCCTTTTAGACTGTGACTCGTTCTACCACTGTTTTCTAAGAGTTCTGCTGTAAAACCCTTGATGAACTGTAGCATCTCCCCACAGCACCCGGGTTTGATTCCAGCCTCGCGTGACTGTTTCTGTGGAGTTTGCATGTTCTCCCGTGTCTGCGTGGGTTTCTGCCGGGTGCACTGGCTTCCTCCCACAGTCCAAAGATGTCCAAGTTAGGTGGATTGGCCATGCTAAATTGCCCATAGTGTTTTGGGATGAGATTATACCCTATTCTCCTCGACACGATCATAAGAGGAAACAATCTCTCTGTATCTGCCCTATCAAGTCCTCTAAGAATCTTGTGTATTACAATCGGGTCATCTCTCATTCTTCTGTATTCCAATGAGTAAAGGCCCAATCTACTCAACCTCTCCTTAGACAATCCCTCCCCACATTGGTATCAACCTAGTCAGACTTCTCTGGATTGCCTCCAATATCTTTGCTTGGATAAGGAGCTCAAACCAGTTTTGGGTAGTTTGATTCAAAGCCTTCAATAAAGGGGAGTAAAATGAACTTGGAGAAGCAACTATGAACCTCTACAGTTACAGTAGAGAGATTGGGAACCATGCTGCACAAGGCAATGGTGCAAGTATGTTGCAGCTTTTAAGAAGTTTATAGATACATTTTTGGTCAAGGGCTGTTAATGGTTTTGATGGATGTTTGTAACCTTTAGCATCGAGTGGCTAATCCTTCCTAGCCCTGCATAATACAGCTTCACCACAAAGATTAGGTCATATTGGATGGCTATTTTTTTTTTTTTTTGCCTAACAATTATTTTGTATATAACTGAAGTTTTGTGGCAGTTGCTTAAGAGTTGGGATGAAAATGTCCACAGCTTTTTTTTCACCAAGGGCTTTTTACCTCTCAGGAGTTGGAATTGGTGTGGAAGTTGGATTTCTTTGTCTAGTGGATGCAAAATAGTGGCTGATCATCTTGTTGGTGTGGTATAAGATTAGTCTTATGATCTTTCAACGACCCTTTGCCCCAACCCCTCCCTATCAGCAACAGTCAACTAGACTACTTACATTCATTATTGAGACTTGATGGGAATACCAGCTGCATTGAGGTTGGCTGTTAATTACCCCAGTAACACAGCAATGCCTTTGTGGTGGCAGAATTACACACACCTATACTGGCAGTTGTCAACGATCAGCTCAAAATCTTGTAGGTGTTGATAGTTTTTTTTTTTTTCCTTTTTCTCCTGTTTTCTCTAGTTGATTGGAATTACAGATGGCTACCTCTCTCTGATGACAGATAATGGTGAGATACGTGAGGATCTGAAACTACCAGAAGGTGATCTGGGAAAGGAAATACTTCAGAGATATGATGCTGGTGAAGATATAATGGTAAGGACAACAGGATGTGTGTTTGTGCATGATCAGTGTTGTGAAAAGACAATAAAAATGTCACGGTCTCGAGACATTGGCAAATTCGTGGATGGGGCTGCAGGATGGGAAGTCACCAGCTTTCTTCATATTCTAGTTTAAATCTAACTTCTACAAACAGATTTATGAAGTGGGTAATAATGCAGGATTCTTATTTCTGATTTTCTCCTATCAGCTTCTACTGGGAATGAACAAGATTAGATTTGTTAGCTTCCCGTCAGTGCTTAGTGTTCAGTCTTCTATTTGAAAATTTGGCCGATCCATGAGGCACTAGCCCGTGGTTTGATCAACAAAGATTTGGTGGTATTAGGGAGCTAAAATAATGATGGCAAAGGGACTGATGAGCAATCCATTGGCCATCGTCATCTAAAGCAAAAAACTGCGAAGTTGCGTAGAGTGAGTACTTATGGATTGGAAGGCAAGACATTAAAATATGGTGTTTTTAAAATATTGATGTTTGTAAAATGATAGGGGGAAGGCAGTGCGTAGCCTCTTTAAAAGATGGTGTGCTTTTCTAGGCTTGGAGAAAAGAAAGTCTGTGGGCAGTTTGTGGGTTTGCATGTGCATAGAGCATCCGAAGTGTAACATTTGCATCAAAGGCTATAGTTAGCAGTCCAAGCTGCAGTTTTGTTTTGTAATCAAGATGATAAGTTTGAATTTAGCCAATTGGTTTAAACCAGGCACTTAGATACTAAAAACCAATCATCCAGCTCTCTACACCTTGTTATCTGAGATTCTCCAGCATCTGCAGTTCCTACTACCTCTAAATTTAAATCTGATGGTTTTTGACAATATAGGACCAATCCTATTGTAAGAAATTGACATGTCATCAAGGGTATAAAAGATGGGGACTGTTGTAAAATCAGCAGAGAGTAATCTGCCATCTGCTAAGAGATCAGCGCTCTCAGCTCTTGAAGAAGGCATCATCTTCATAAAGGTACCGTGGCACTCTTAGTTAATATTGCTGACAAAAGAGTTCAACAAAGAAGGCGTTCCTGACGGAAAATCAACGGAGAAGAGACAGAACATTCTGGAAGACGTAACCTTACTGTAATTTTGAGAGACTAAGTGCTAATTTTTGTTTTAAATTTTGGTTTATGTAAGTGGGACTTGTATTTATTGGAATAGCATACCATTAGAATCTTGTTTTATTGGGGAATCGTTAGTAGTTAGAGGGGAATTGTTAGGTTTGTTAACAACTTAGTTAATTTGTTCACTTTTTTAGAGTTAGATAAATAAATTGTTACTTGTTGATTTATAGAGTGAGTGTCCGGACCTTACTTCATTTAACCACTCCTTTATAACGTGGGGTGAAATTTATAGGCCGAGGCAAGCCTCTGGGTGTTTTGGCTTTGGTTATGAGGGGTGTTGACCTCCATTTTATGACATAAAGTAATGTGATGCAGATCATGCAGAGTAATACAGTGGTATGAACTGCCCAACTATTGACTTGTTGACTGGATTGGTGCTTAAGGTTTTTTTTGTCAGAGGGAAATGGTGAGGTAATCAGGAGGTTTTTTGTTCCTTACGGCATAAGTCAGGGTTAGGTTTGATTCAGTCCAAGCTTGGAACTACAGTTTTGTCTTCACACTAAGATTTTTACTCCATCTCCTATCCTGTGTGCTTGAATGTTGCTGCTGTTGTGGTGTATTCCTAAAGCAAATCCCTAGATTCACTGACAATGAATATTTGGCTACTGAATGAAGCCATTTATTCTAACGACTCTATCTAACATTGGGATTTTGACAATGTACTTTTAAACTTCATTGTGTTATCTTTGTGATTAATGTCAATTTATCAGAATTTAGAGGTGAACTTTTCAAAGCAGCCTGGTACTGCCTCTTGATCTTTGTAGTGAATTTCAACATTCATATTGTGCAGTGACGCTGAAGATCAACAAATAGTGGAATAGTCTGATTCTCCTACTTCTGGTGTTGTTCTGAAACCTGATCCATATTTGTGACTAATTTTGCTGATATTTTGTTTTTTCCTTCTACCTAGGTCACAGTTCTGAGCGCAATGAATGAAGAGGCCGCTGTTGGCATCAAGCACATGACTAAGCAGTAAACAGGGATCAAGAGACCAGTCCTGACTACTCAGGCCAAAACCTTGGATCTTAATTAGGTTAATTATCGCCAAAGTAATGGCCTTCACACCACGACCTCATTTCCTTCGAATTTTTTTTCCAAATGGCACCAGACCAGACTTGACTTTGCTGCCCAATTGGCTGGTCAGTTGTTGCTACGGGCTGATTGGCTTTGTACTAAATCATGGGTATTGATGCTCCCTAATAAAAGTATGGCAATGTAATATTTGCTGCCGTTGATCCTATTTTTGTTTGTAGAACTGGCCTATAGTGTGAATTCCAAAAGCTGCCTGCCCAGCGAGTGGTTTGATGTCCAACCTCATTGCTTAATGAGTGTTTCCTACACAATACACTTAGCAGCCATGAGCAACTAACTATTACCTCTGTTACACTCCTAAGTTTTTTTAAAAAAAAAAAAAAAAAATTGTTGCACCTTGTGTTGCAAAATTCTACTAATACAATTTTGGTGCTTGTCCTGGGCAGATGGGGCAAATTTTCCAAATATTGCATTATAAAAGAAGTCTATATAAATCTGGAGACTGTGTATTATGCTGCAAAATTTCACTCGAGATCTCGACTGATTAAAAATTGTTATTCAATTGCTTATTACTTTTATTGTATTTATCATGCAGTAGGATTAAAATATGTGAATCATTTCCTGGAACTTGTCTTTGAGGTGCATTTTGTGTTGTATTTATCAGACACTAATTGTTACAAGATGACTTTGTTAAACCCTTTATGGAAGGAACAGGCTGCTGTGTATGGAAATCTTTCCATTACTCCTTGTAGATATAGTATTCGTCAACTCATTTACTCCGGTTTCAAACGAGATCAGACTGCCAAGTTCAATGCATCACTAGCTGGTGTGACTTTTAAAAAAAAATGTATGTAGTGAGAGTTGAACTTTATTCCTGAAAACTACTTTTAGTTTGTTGATTTTGATCTGGACACAGAATGGATTTCACAGAAGTTCCCAAAAGCCTTATATTCTGTGTCCTCTTCCCTCCTCTCTTCTACATGCCCTGCTCCCCAATCCCCAACCCTTTCCTGTGATATGGGAATATTGCTGAGTTCCATCTTTTGTGGCTACTCATTGGCTCACTTTCTTTGTGCTGCCTCTATGTAATTTAACAAATACTGTTTTGTGGGGCTCCTGAATATATGCACTTTGTATTTGAGCACTTGGTTGTTAGAAATCCATTTCAGACAGTGTAACAGCAGTAGTCTGGTTTGATGTGTGTCTATGAAATAATATTTTCAATGATTTGCATTATCTTTACAAATCCAGGGTTTGTGTTCCTTTTTTAAATTTTACTTCTGTTGGTGCAGAAATGGCTGCAGATGGTTGGACCTACACTCCATCTTTTTACAGCAGGCTGCTTGAAATTAGAGGACTCACTTTCAGAAATGGTTCACCAGGTAGCAGATTGGTTGCTTTTCTCACAGCAACCAAGGTTTGAGTTTAGCTCAGTGTGTGAAAGTTACTCGTGCAGCAAGTAAGGTAAGGAGGGAGTGTTAAGCAACTAATCCTAGACAATGTAGACTTGCAGTATAAAACTGCCTGTAATAAAGTGACAGTATTATTTAAAGATTAGTATGGGGAATTGGGAATGCCACATTTTACTATAAATGAGCTGCAGTCTCCTTCTGGAATTGAATAGACCAGCACAGACACATGCCAGCTGTCTAAAAGACCTGTTAATCCAATTCTCACTGTTTATCCTGCGCACTACACTTTGTTCCCTTTTTTTTTCCCAAGTATTTATTACATGTTTTTGAAAATTACTTCCACCACCTTGTCAAGGTTATGCATTCCAGTAAGAACTTAGTGAATATAAATATTTATTCTCTCACCCTTGCCTTGCTATTTGCCAATTACCATAAATCTGTCATCTTGGTACGCCCAGTCCTGCCAGTGAAAATGTTCTCATTGTTTACAATATCCAAATTCCTTGTTAATTTTGGGAACAGCTATTACATCTCCCCATAATTCTTGCTTTATAGCGAACAGTCCCAGCTTGGCCAGTGTTCTTGGTTGGAGGGGAGGTAGGGATAGCAAAATGGAAATGTTTCATTCGTTCATCTCCCAGTGTGTCGAAGATTTTGTTTTACAAGGGGATTGTTGAGCGGTTATTGGCATTCTCATGAACTCCTACTGTTTGATTTTGTAAATACAGTAAATAGTGCTTCACCGAGAATGAACGAATGGAGTCTTTCTCCAGCCATTTGATGCATTGAGCTGGGCATAGATACACAAGACTGGATTTCAAAAGATTTAAATCTGTGTGCACAAATCAAATTGTTGCCTGAAATGCAGTTGTCATATTATTTTAATGTGATCTATTAGACACTTGTGTACATTTAGCTGCGTGATACATCTTATTGAAAGTTTTGTAATGCAATTAAAGCCTATTTTGCTTTAGGAATCAAATTCAGACACACTGACATAACAATTTCAGGAAGCTGACAGTTGCAAATAGAGCACCCTTGATATTTTACTCACAGTACATGTACTTCTTTACCAATTCTTATCACTTTAATGTTATATTGGTGTCTCCTTTGACCTTAGTATCAGTGCACTTGCTGCATAAGTTGAGCAGCAGATGGGTCAGGCTACTAATTTTTCCTGGATTTTGGTTTGTTTTTTATTTTCAACTAATAAGGGCTCTGAGTAAAAACTGTAGCAAAAGATGTTTAAACTGAATGCCTGTGATGCCATTTATAAAGCAATGCTAATGCAAATTTGAGTTTTGCACAAAACTTGTAAACTTCGATTAAAACATGTTCAGATAATTGCTCTCCTGACGACTAAATTTTTTTTTTTTTTGTTTCTCCAATTTGTTTCTGTATCAGCTGTTTGAGTGAATACCCAGTCAGTAGCCATTCTATTGTAGAACTTCCAACACTGAACAAAACCGGTGGTTTCTGCTGTGTTGGGTCATCTGAGGAAACAGATATAGTGTGCTATGTGCCTCACGTCTGGATGATGGAAGGAGAAATTAGATTAGATTAGATTAGGTCTACTTTTCTGTGGCTGTTGTAAGCTGTCCTCTGCTGAAAACGTATATTGACAAGATTAGATTCACAATAAAAAGTGCTGGAGAACCACAACAGGTCTGGTGGTATCTGTTGACTGAAAAACAGAACTTTGAGCCTGTTAGGTCAGTCGGCTGGTTTGTGATGCAGAGTGGCACCAACACTGTAGGTGTGGGGATGAAGGTCATGCTTTCTCAACCTTTGCTTGAGACGTGGGGAGCCTCTGGTTAAATTCATGATCAGTCATTTCTGAGAGCAGCTCCATTCTCCTCTGGTGGTGGTGGTGTTGTTATAATAATAAAAAAATTATAAAAAAAAATTACTACTACTACTACTAAAATTCAACCAATGAATTTATTTTCAAAAACAAAAAACTTTAAAACAAAGTTTAAATCAGTACTTAAGTAGAGAATGCTTTAAAAATTATGATCCTTGATTTCAAGATGCTGATGTAATGGGCCTAACTCTACCAGCATAGTCAGGAACCTGTAATAATGTGGGAGGAATGATGCTGTGAGAGGTGTAATGAAGTGTATCCTTTAATGTCTTTCTCTCATCTGCCCAGTTCCTTGGTGGTAGTGGATTAAACTTCTCACCACTCTCTGGGTTTTAAGTTCAGGAGTTTTTTTTTAAATGAACATGGAAATCTTGCATTTACATAGCCCTTCCTGGTCTTTAGTGATAGTGTATTTCAAAACACTAACTTCCAAAATTACAATGACATATTTTAAAATGTGGCTGCTAATTTGAACACAGAACTACCACAAACAATGAGCAAAGATAACGTGGCTATAGTTCCTACTGTACCACAGAGCTGTCCACGGTTTTTGGCTTCCCTAAATGAACATATCGTCACTGTACCTTTATCGACGCACTCTCAACAACAGAAGAGTGTAGAGATAACAGGGTCTGGGCCCTTTTTCTGAAGAAAGGTCTAGCCTGAAACGTCAGCCTTCCTGCTTCTCTGATGCTACTTGGCCTGCTGTGTTCATCCAGCTCTACACCTTGTTATCTCAGATTCTCCAGCATCTGCAGTTCCTACTATTTCTGAAACAGAAGAGTGTAGTGTGGGATAACGTAACAGATTTATGGTTTGGGCTAATTTAGAGCTATGGGAATACGGGTTAAAACCCCACCATGTTACCGAGTTGGAAAGAATGGAAATTTAGTTGATAAAACCTGGAAATATAAAGCATAGCTCAACTACCGTGCTTCGCAAACGCCATCAATTGCTTAAAAACCCATCTTGATTTACTGTT